CACTGAACCAGGATGGGCTTTCAACCAAGTTGTCATGTTTCTTGATTGTAGCATCATAACTTTTTGCCCATCTAATAAACTTCCTTAAGAACTCCCAATTTTCCGTCACATTTTTCTATCTAAAATTTTCCTCGCAATCAATTTTGCTCTATTGTCCTCAGCTTTGAGAAATTAGCCCTTTTGAAGCACCAAATATTTACATCACTGGTTCGGACTGTCCTCTATTTGCTCATATTAAATGTAATCAAGTCATGAGCAGTAGTCCCTAGGCAACCACCAACTTCCCAGTCCAGTGATTAATTCATAGTTCTGTCATAATGAAGTCCAAAAGCATTACCTCATTGGGTGCAATACCCTTTGTGTTTAAAAAATGATCATCTACAATTTTTAGAAACGAATATGTGTTTTGTGATTGGCTGGAGGAGATCTCCAGTATGCAGGGACAACTCTAGCTGTAAGCAAACTAGGCTGCTGCCGAGGGTGGCTGATTTGGCCAGTCCTCCCTCAATTATGATGGAGGGGTGGCCGGGCCAAATTTGAGTGAGTGGCATTGTGACCTAACGCACAAGCATGCAACACCACTCGCACAAATTTGGGCTGGCCACCAAATCTGTGGTCGTGATTGTGGAGCAGCCAGGCCAAATCTGCGTCCTGAGGCCAATGAGGAGGGGAGCCGCACACGGAAGTTTTGCTGAAGATGGCAGATTGTCTTGAGCGGTCTCTGCCGGCATGTGTCTCCCACGCTGAAGAACCCCATAACAACACAACTTTTATTTCCACATGTTAAAGACCAATATTTAAGGAGGAATAACTCATCCTGTTTGCTGGTTTGATGTTCTGTAACAACAGATCCTCCATGGAGCCCTCCTGGGCTTTGTTAGTTAGCACATGGATCGATATGCTTTCAAGAGCCAATGTCTCTGAGTTAACAATAACTCTGAAACAGGTAATGGTTCCTTTAATGTAATATCGGATCCTCCCCTCCCCCCTTTACCCTCTTTGTCTGTCCTAAACAGGTTTATAACCTGTGATTTTAACCTTCCAATCATGTGCATCATCCAGCAGATTCCAGTAAAGCCACTTATCTAAAATTTCTTCTCATCAGTGAGAATTTCCACTTCTTCCTACTTTTTACCTTGACTCCTAGCATTGGTGTATAAGCAATATGCTCTTCACATTTTCACATCTGTTTTAATTTGTTAATGACACACTGAGTTTGAGTTAATACCGCATTTGCCCCCTTAGCACCTGTCCCTTGTCGTAATACCGCATTTGCCCCCTTAGCACCTGTCCCTACCCTCTCCCCCTCATCGGCTCCAGTTGGTCTCGAAGCAAGATGATTAGCTGCCTATTTAGCTGCCATGATTAGCAGATGCATGCTGGTCCCATTCATATAGCTCTGTCTCCCACTGGAATATGGCCCAGTCCTCCACAAATCCAAACCTTCAGCTTCATACCAGTTGCACTGTCTATGGTTCACATCCAATATTTTCTGCCTTCTGTTGCTTGTGGGACTGGAAGGCTCTCCAAGAAGATAACTTGGACGTTCCTCCTCTTCAGCTCCCTTCCAAGATCCCTGAAGTTTTCTGCAATCTGTGGGATGCCATAGCTTTGGAACCAGTGTGTATCCCCACCAGTGGAGACTTGCCAGAAGATTTAATAACCCCATCCTTCTTGCACTTACATTTCATATTTTCGCCCTGGGGTGACAGCATACCATCCTGCTCTCCTTGTGTCCTTTGCTAAATTCTGTGTCCACTCTTCATATGGAGTCACTGGTGAGGATTGTTTGCCTTCTAGAGATAGGTGAAAACCCTGTCTTTATAGCTGCTTGCTTCATAATGCAACGGTGCCCATGAGGCATGTCCCTTTTAGCTTTCTGTTCTGTTACTCCGGAGACAGGTTCCTCTGTAGTTGCTTCACTGTGTACCTGATACTGAATGAGGACTTTTAGCTGGGTTGAATACCTCCTGGTTTTCTCTCTACTCTTGGTCAGTCCATTTCTTTGGTTTCTGTTCTTTCCAGTTCTCCTTTCACAGACTCTTCCCCTTGTCGTGTCTGTAGTAGTGATTTCCAAATGTGGTTGTCAAAGAGGTGTTGAAACTTGTGCTTCCAGACCACGTATTTTCTCCTGCAGTATGGCCACCAGCTTGCATTCATGCACTAGAGATCGATTTGGTCTTCTGACAGAAAAGTAAACATAGCATGTCTGAGGCAGGACACAGTTGTTTCCTTGTGGTCCATGTTAGCTACGTGGAGTAGAGCTATACCTTCAACAGAAGGAGCCAGGCTCCCTCCAGAACTCACCAGCTTGTCACTCTTATTTGCCTACCTCAGGAGTTCACCTGGCAACTGACTATATACTAAGCTTCACTGCTCAGCTCTACCCGCTCTTTAGCAAGCCAGGGTTAACCTCTGACACTTCAAACCCTGGGTCTGTTCAAAGACAACAGGGTTACAGCCACACTGCCCTCACTGCGACACAGACAGACCTGTCTCACCTAGCCTGGTCAGGGGTCCACAGCCCAGCCACGCAACCTTCCTGGAGAACAGACAGACCAAACACACCACTCACCAGTTTCCTCTGCCTCTGAGCACAGCATCCACACCTATGCCCCCTGAAACCTAATAACTAACTTTGGACTGTGATCAACACTGCTAAATATATACCCAAAAGATCAGACTAATCAGAATGCAAAATATGATTTGAGAAAAGAATCTTAATTCAAAGCTTCCTTAGAACTTGCAGTGCTTATTGGGGATTCTTAAAATAGTAGTGTCAAAACTTGTTTTAAAAAGAAATCCTATTTGTGTAAATGCAGTTGTCATAATTATTGCAATTAATGTAAAGCATTTATTCATGCTCTTAAAACCCTCATGTAAGCACTTAAATACTGAAGATGGTTTCTCTCTTAAATACTGATTAAAATAAATTTTGTGAAATGAAAGCTGAGTTTAGTTCTGCACTGAGCTAATTATGCCAACATCACCGTTTCAGATTTTATTTATATGTGCACACTAACAACAAATGATCATTAGTCTTTTTAATTCTTCCCACTCCCTGCAATGTCTCACAGAATATCCTCCTTGACATGATCCTTTGGAAGATTGTGTCCAGTCGAATTAAACAAGGGGAATATCGCCTCGCCAGGCTCCAGCCACCTCAGGTTGGAGACCAATATTTTGCTGCTAATCATCCAACAGTATGCAGATTAATTTAGTTTTTTATCATGCATTTTGTAGTGGTTTCTGGGTGTGTTTGTTTTTCTGCTTGTATAAACCTGTTTTTAAATAATGTCTTTATCATCTTTCTGTAACTTTACAATTAAAAGGGATTTTAACAGAAGCATCTTTAAATATTATTATAAACATGTCCTAAGCAGGTAAGTGTACGTTAAGAAGTTTAGCTTCACTTACAGGACTTGAGAAACAGTGTGAGGCCTCTCTAATTTTTCCATTGGCTTGTTTTTTCACTCCAAAATGACACACTTAGAATTTCAGGGACTAACGCATGCAGTGTCACCAGTGTCCATCCCAGACTCTTAGTTGTAGTCTGCATGTCAGCAGATCAGTAGAGTGGGACTAGAAATGTCTTAATTCTCATGAAAACCGGGTTCTTAACTCTGGGTTTGATCCAGCTCCCAGTGAAATGAATTAAATTGACTCAGAAGGTGTTGGAGCATCCTCTGTGTGATCAGTAATTTATGGTACATACAAACAAAGGGAAACCAAATGAGACATGGTAAATTACTACTCCTTCTTAAGCTTTTTAAGCTGGTGTTGGCAGCTCCTCCTCCTCAAGAGATAGTCAACAAACTGCATTTGGTACCACCCAGAGGCTACAGTCTATGGAAAATGCAGTGCAGTAAAACACTGCTGGTTTGGTTATTCCCTTTAACGCCTCATAGCTTTTGCCTGCCTCTGGGCAGGGAACCGGCACAAGGCCCAGCCACTGCTTCAGTCAGAACTGAGCTTGATTGTGAGAAAGTCCGTGGTGCCTAGGGTTCTGCACGGGGGTAAATCTAAGCCAGGGAGCATAAGGGCAATCACTTATATGTATATCCACCAGCACGGCAGTCACACACAGTAGCTGAGGTAGACTGAGAAATGGGAGGAACCAAATACCTGGAGAATGTTAGCAGTGTGTTTGTCTATTTATTCCAGTTAGTGCAGTAACATTTCTAAGGTTTATGTATTGCCTATTTAGGATGAGGGGAGTGAGGAAGACTTTTAAAAAAATAAATAAACACGGTGTGATTTATGCGTACATACTAGGAGATTGCTTCTAATTCACTGTTTTGCATGCTTTTTAATAGCACACACTGTCAGATAGGCATGGTTAGTTTAAATTGCGTACTGCTTATTGTTGGTTGGATACTGCTGAACAAACCTGTGTATGTGTAAAATATTTAGAGGGTTTTTTCCCCAAACTTGGGCATCAAACAGACAGTTACATCACAAGAAGTGTTTTCAGGCCATTACTCCTCAATTGTATACTTTGGGAGTTGACTAGTTCCTCTGAAACCGTGCAGTTATAGGCAGTACTGTGAGTGCTTTGGAATGTGCATGAACGGGATTGCAGATGCAGGAGACCTGGATACTATGATGCAGAATCTTCTTTTCTCCTCGCGTTTGTACCTTTTGCTGCCATACTGCAGAAGAGGGAGTAGGCACAGCCCTGTATGTAGATTCTGCACCACACTGTCTTGATCCTATATAATGACAACAATTTCTAAATGAGAAACTAAAACAATTCATAATGAAAGTCTGACTCATTTCTGATGTCTCATTGTAAAATTTCTGATGTGGTTTTAAAGTATTTTGCTCTTGGCAGCCTGGTTTTCATATCTGTTCCTTTCCCTGTCCCTTCTGCAGGAGGCTTTGGATCGCTGGAGAGGATGCTTCCTTTCCTCCCTGTTTGGCTGCAGAAAGAAGATTCCAAAAGCCAAGTACATGCACTTAGCTCAGGAACTGTTGGTTGATCCAGAATGGCCACCAAAACCTAGAACTACTACAGAAGCTAAAGCTCCAGCCCAGGAAAATGGTTCATATCCAATAATCACTATAACATAACAATGAATCTCAGTGGTATGTTTCTTTAGCAGTATTCAGAGCTATGTAATTGTATGGCTTTATTTAGTATTGCCGCATATTAAGTGTTCTCCTAGTACAAACATTTCTGGTTATTTTGTCTCTGAATACAAAGTTCAGAGCTGGACATCATACAAATTATACATCAAAAAACATTGAGCTAGATGACGTACAACAGAAGAAAAAAATTTTTACTAAATTTTGAAGCCTCACTTGCCCAAAGTGAGCTGTATTTAAAGGTTTAAACTGCAGGGCAGTTAAATAGGGTCCTTTGAATATTTGGGGAATGTTAATATTTGGTGGTAATTGTTCCACCCTGTGTACCAACAGCAATGTGAGCATAGTGTGCTGTCTGACACAACCTTTTCACAGCAGTACTAGAGACCCATAGAAACCACATGGAAAGGGTTGTCAGTTATTTCTTCACTTTTTATGAGAAAGCATCATGACTGTAAGGTGATCCTGGAGTTTTAGTGTGTATCCCTCCTATTTCACATGGACTAAAAACAAGTTCATACCTAGTAGTGCAAGAGAGTTTCCAGCTGTTGGACAGGTAATGGTTTGGACTTGCAGCTAGTCCTTAAGTCTGACCCTGCAGGTACTGGGAATGCAGTAAAAACCGTGTGCTCAGTCCCTAGGAGGAAGGAAGCACATTACTCTCAAATGAGCTCTTACCCTCCTCTTCAGCTAGTCGTAGACTGCAGAAGGACAGGTTGTTGGGGGTCTTTGAAGAACCTAGGCCAAATAATTCTTCTTCCCTTACATCTCACTTCTGTTGCATTTAACTGACTGGTGGCTCCATACGCTCTCTGTGTCCAACAAAGGGATTAGATTACTCTTAGCAGACCAGGTTTTATTGGTGTTGTGTGAGCGATTTTTAACACTTTTGCACCAGAAAGGCCAGAACTATCACTAGGAGGCAGAAAATGGTTTTCACATGCCCTTAGCATTAGCAAATATTAATCCTGGACACCAAGGGCTTATAAATACCAAAGGATTGGTCTACCAGTGTCTTAATTACCATGTAGTTGTGTGCAGCAATGTTAAGATGGAAACAGATGAGCCAAAATCCAGGTCTTGTTATAAAATGATCGGGCTGCCGTGGATTTCTCTCTTTTTAAACCTTTTGCAGCCAGTGGTGCCATGAGTACTTGAAGTGCGAGTGCAGTTTCATGGTGAGGTGGTGCCAAAGAGCACTGTACTAGGCCACAAGGGAAATGAAATCGCAAATATGAGACAGCAAGCAGCAACAACTTCAAAAATACTGGGTTTTAGAAGCCTGTCAAAATGGGTAAAAACCCAAAGCCTTTGGCAACCAAATAACAGTAAAACCTTGAGGAAAAACTCCTACAGTCAGTTCCTTTGCTCTTTTGAAAGAATAAAAAGTGCTGAGATTTGGACTGCCCTTTTTAACTCCGTGAAATAGACTGATCTAAGCAACTCTGAACTTTGGGAGAGGACACCAGAAATCCAGATCTGACCCTTACACGAAAACTCCTCTAGGATTGTATGTGGGGCTGAATGAAACCTGTGGAAATTACTCCACTCTAGGGAGTGGTCTCCTGCTATAAAATCCTGGGGGGTAGCTTGTTACGTTATCTAGGGAGGATATCATTCTCTAGGGTTCTTCTGTAAGAGGAGTTTTGCAGCTCAGGCCTATTTCCCTTGTGTTTTCGTGTATGGCAATATCCTCCTGCCTGGACAGGGTTGAATGTGCCATGCCAACCTTGGCATTAATAATTGGGGCATAAATGGTTTGGAGGGTTCTTCTAGGACTGTGAAGATTAGCAGTTACGTTAACAGTTACACCTCATGAATTAATGGGTGTACTATCCCCTATGCCAACTGACAGCTCTCTTCCTGTTTTATTTTGGGACGGCATTTACCAGCTTTTAATCAGTAGTGCAGAACAGAATTGTCCTTTTCCTGCCTTTCGTACTGTTGAACTTCAAACAATATTTGTAACTTTAGAAGAGTGTAAAAACTGGATCACTGTTACTGATGTTGCCACTGTTGAGTCTTTGAAATATCTCATTCATGTGGAATTGGGGCGGGGGAGACGGGGGGGGGAATATTGCTAGCTAAGTGAATATTCTTGATATCTCCCCTTTATAGAAAATATTTTACTTTAGTGGAAAGATTCCATGAAGCTATGCATCTTGGACCTTGACGCTGTGACTTACGACCACATCCTAGATTTGTTTAAATGTTAACTTACGGGGGGTTTTGAGTTAGTTTCATTCATTTTGACTTGCTTGTTCAGTCAAAAGTGAAGAGGAAAATGTGCACGTGGTCTGCGTCTTTCAAGTACTGTTGCTTAGTGCTCTTCCCCCAAACTGCTAATCAGTCTGTCCTCATTCAGATGTTAAAGTCAGTCTTTCATTTGTGATGATGATATTCTGTGTACCAGCCCATTAGAAATATCCAGATAATAAGGAGTAAATTACTTGTAGAGCAGTGAGTTTGTTTAAAAAGTATTCTAATTTTTTTAATTAGGGCCAAAATTGTCAAGTGTGTCCATTAATTTTGGGTGCATGGTTTGTGAAAAGGCGAGCATGATTTTCACTGGTCCTGAGCACCTGCAGATTTCTTTGACTGCAGATGGAATTCTGGGTGCTCAGCACCTCTGACAGTCAGGTGCTCAGCACCTCTGACAGTCAGGTGCTATGTTCTTCAAGTTGGGCACCAAAATTAGTGGATGCTTTTGACATCATATGACTGAGCAGCTAGGGTCTTTGACCAAGAACAGTTAGTTATTGTTCAGAATAATAGATCAGCTGTCTTTTTTGGGAAAAAAATCCTTTTAAACTTTTCTTTTTGTTGCAAGGTTTTGTACTTCTGAGGGTTCAAATACAGCCATGGAAGTAGGCGCAGCTCCTACTGAAGTCCCTGGGAATTGCACCTTCTTACCTCAGGGCAGGGTTCAGCCCTATTTGCCTGTATATCACTTTGAAAGGAAGATGTGATTTTTTTTTGAAGTGTACAGAAAGATAGCAAACTAGATCTGGCCCCAAATTAGCAAGTTCAGTTCATACGCTGAAGTAAGTTGGACTTCAGAGTTTGTGCTTAAAAGAAACCTTCTGTAAATTTGTTCTTGAAAGCTAATGAATTCAGATGAACAGAACTATTTAGTGGGCCCTACTAATTACTTTTGATGGTCTTTTTTCTTTCTATTATATAATTCAGCCTCACACTGAGGAGTTTGATTCAGATTTTCTTATTAAATTATTTAAGTGTATACAGACCTAAATTTAAATCTGTATACATCTTACTTCAGTGTGTTAGGATTTGTAAATATGACTGATATAAATATTATTTATGCACATACTTAAAGGAATGGTCTACCCAGGAAAGCAATTGTTAAATAATAAATGTAACTTTTAAATTTGTTTAAATAAATAACCAGATCTTTAACATGTGTATCCCTCAGGGTTGTTTTTAAAGTTCTCCTTCCCTTCAGATACAACTAATGGCAACTGTAGGTTTCCTACATTATATCACTAAGTCTGCTGTAAAATGACCTGCAAATAATGCTTGAGTAAAAGTGGCGAAGCCAGCCACAAAGCAAAGATTATTTTGATTAATTTGTAAACTTTAAATTGGGAACTTTTACAATTGCACTTTCAGTTTTTAAAATGGTCACCGTTTTTATTCTATTTATTTTATTTCTTGTTCTGTGTTTATGAAGATTGTGCTGAATCAGTTCATCTGAAATTGGGTAAATAATCCTCTACTGTATTATGTATATATTAACATTAAACACATGCAGGATGCTTTTTTATGCTGCAAGTTTTTTAGTATTTTCCTTGGTCATCTCAACATTCAAGATTTAGGAAGTGCTTTAGAATTTCTCCCATGAAATTTTGAATGATAAAATTAGATTTTTATATGTCTGAGGGAAAGGGGTGGTTTTCTGACAATTTTTAGAGTCCTGGATATGTTAATTTTATACAGTATAGCTTCAGGTTTTTACAGCTATTTTCAATGAATTGCAGCTTGTTTGATAATTGTGAACCAGAAACTACTCTTGGTTTCGGTGATGACTTCCTTGAATCTAACAAAAATAGAAGGCTCATGATTTTAGTGTTCTCTGGAAGCTCACCTTCCTCTTGTTTTTAAAAAGCTAGTTTAAATCAGAAGTGACTCTGCATCTTTATATTTAAAACCATGCACTGCTGCTCTAGAATGGTACCAGGTGTCAAAGGGGCACACATGCGTCACTGTACATTGCAATTGTAAATAGCCTTGTAAAATCATTTTTATGATTGAAGCTATTTGAAATAAAAATGTAAATGAACAGCGTGTACTTTCATAGCTTTTGTTATTTGTGTACAGGAATGTTTCTCTAATTCCCTCTGTCACACATTTGGGGCTCAATTCAGAGCCCACTGAAATAGATAAGAATGACGCCCATTGGCTTCAGTGGGCTTCGGCTCAGCCCCATCTCCATGCACTCTTGCTGAGTAAGGGGCATGTGTGCGCATATACACACACCAGATTAATATCTGGAAACAGTGACAGTGACCTCAGTCTTCCATCATGGATTGATGAAGGCCGTGTTGAGGCTGTAACTTGTACCTTACGAAGGGTAGTGATGCATTTCTGCTTCATTATTGAGATCTTCCCGTGCTGCTTCCTTGCAGCATGGTGTGCTGATAGCATTTCTTCTAAGGTGACACTTTCATTTCTTGCCAGTCTTCTGCCTGCAAACAATGTTGTTCCTGACACTATCATATCTATCCTGCTCTGCGTCTGGAAACATCACTTCATGAGTGAGGCTGAGACCCTTTCCATACTGCAGTATGGAAATACATTTAAATATTCCAGGACAAAGAACTTTGTTTAAGAAAAGTTAAGGTAGAATGTGTTTGAGAGGGGTCCAGCCAACACCCAAAAGCTTGACCGGTTTTTTAAAAACCCAGGCACAAACCTGGATCCAAAACAATATTTTATGAACCTTTTGCTTTCACCAAGATCCTTATGGACTTAAGTTTTTG